AAACACAAGCTGCAGGTACTTTCAAGGAAAGCAGTTGATTTATTCACCAAAGACCACCTCCGCATCTCACATTTCTGGAGCATCCTCCCTCCCACGGGCAGCAGAAAGTCACGGCTTGATAATTTAAACAGGATTAAAGAGTGCGCATGTAAACACAGTTGTGTGCTTGCAGTGAGGGGACAGTCAGTGCACATCCCAGCAGAGGAGGGGCTTTCCCAGGCAAAACACCTGCAAGAAAGAAAACATTGCTTTCTGTGGGAAAGTAGAGAAGAATGAGATGTGTTTGGAGAAGGGACTGACTAAAGGCTGCAGTGGACGAACATCCCAAGCCAAGAAGCCATACCTGGCAAATCTGCAGTGATAAAACACAGCTGCCAAATTGTCTGGACAGGCACACAATAGTCACCATGCCAGCAAAATCTAGGGCTGAAGGACCAAAGGAAACTGGGCAGAAACTGTCAGCACAGGGTCAAACAGAGAGAGGGAGACACCAGGATTAGATGTTTGCATTTGTTAGATCTAAACAAAGATTTAGAAAATCTTCTGAGTCTGCCTTACTACCAGCAGTCTTCTGGCTCTCCCTTTCTACCATGGACAAAGAAAGGTTTCTCATGTGGGTATAATGCCTCGCGCTGCACACCAATTTTCTGAATTCATGAGAAGCTCAAAAATCTTCTCTTCTTTGCTTGCCCAGTTCTTGCCCCATGGCTGTCCCTCCCATCCACTTCCTAGCAGAGCTAACCAGATCTTCACTAGCTCCCTCAAAGCCCCATCCCTGCAGTCTGAGCTGGCGGTGACCCCTCACCTCATTCTCTTACAGAACCAGCTCTTTTTTTTCTATGCACACAGACAATTTTGCTGTGGTTGCGGAGTAATTGAGAAAAGAAGGGATGATAGGTGTCCCCCAGCCTTCTGTCCAGGGGACACACTATGGGGAGCAGGAAATAAACTTACCTGGAGGCACAGCTAAGCAGGGAAACAGGAGGGAGAAGTGAGTAGGGCCACAGAAACAGCACTAGGCCTCCAACCACTACCTACTGCTTCATCAAGAGGGACAGGTAGCCTGCAGTAGGTACTTTCCAGAGTCTTCTGTCAGCAGGATAAGTGTTCTATTTGCTTGTCCTTCTGGTTTTGTCTTTATCTCCAGTTTTTACTGCTACTGTGCATAAAGAGAAGATGAGTGCATCCGAAGGCAGAGAGGATGGGTCTCCTCTCCCTTTCCAAAGGGTGGGCTGAGCCCTGGACCCGGGCAAAGGTGCACCTGGCTCGTGGCTGAGCTCACACTGCAATGAGCTGCAGTACCTGCCGCTTCTAAAAACACAAAGCTGAGCCCTGCCTAGGCACAAAGGTCTCCATATCAGACAAATTCTGGGCTCGATTTGACTCCAGGGGCTAGGGCCAGGAAAAGCACACTGGTCCCATGCTCCAGTCCTGGGAATCAGACCATGGAGGTGCAGGCTGGACAATACCACCAGGGACAGTTCAGCTGCAGGAAGGATGGCACCAGCTGCTTCTCAGAACCCCACCACCCGGCTAAGAGTTCTGGCATCTTCCCACAGGACAAATCTCAGCAGAAAGTGTCCGGAGCAGCAGCAAGCAGCACTGGTGATGATATGCTGGGAATGAGGTGGGAGCAAGCAGGGGCCTGAGGATGAGAAATACCAGGTCTGGATCCTCTCCATCATCCACACCTGTTGTTTAGGCAAGAGCAAACAGCAAAAGGAAACAAAACTAAAGGGTATTTTCCTCACCTGGCTTCCCACCCTTCCCAACCATCCACATGTCCCATCTCCTCACAAGAACCCAGGCAGGTCCCTGAGCCCACTCCAGCTGGATCTGCACTGGTGCCAAGGACGCTGTGTCCATGGAGAGCAGACCCTTGCCTTGGCAGCAAGGAGAGGAGACCACCAGCATGGGGAACAACTGGCCATTACACTAATAAATGTGCCCAGGACACATTCACAGCTCCTGTTGACTGTTCGGCACCAAGGAGTGATGTGAAGAAGGTGATTGAAGGCTGTGAGAGAGGGAACAGCTTTTAGCCCCCACAGTGCTGCTCATCTTTCCTGCCAGTGCTTGTGAGGAGGATGCAGCTGGTTCCTCCCCAGTCACTTCAGAAGCAGCATATGCAACACATGAGGGATGCTGGTGAGAGAAAAAGCCCCTGTACACTGCCTCTTTGGAGGCAAGGGACAAAACCAGTTCAGTAAAGCCCCCGGATAGGGTATTATGGCACCAAGTGAGAGCAGTATAGCAGTGCCACTGGTGCCTTGCTCTTGTTGCAGAGAAGCAGATGGGTGGTTTTGCTATGGACCTTCAATCCTACCCTGTGCCAGGTCAGGCCTTGAGATAGCAGCAGACTGTGCCTGCTGTGTCTGGTGCCCCTTGAACGCAGCCTAGGAAGCATCTGAGACCACTTTCACCATGCCAGTGAGAGACAAGAGTGCTCTCATGATCCCAGCTGTGAGTCCTGGCTGCCAGGGAACAACCCAAAGCCTGCTCAATTTGCTTGCATAGATGCAGCCTTGTCTTTCTCTCCTCGCCTTGTGTCCAGTCACCAAGAGAGTGGCTGTTCTGTCAGCTCCACATGAAGGCTTTTCAATTATCATACCTTGTATTATCACAACATGTGAAATGCAGGTCCCAGGTTTGGATAAAGGACTACAGGTGTTTCAGCCAATGATCCAGAACACCTCACACCAAAGTGATCCCTGCACATAGCCTCAGAGCTACTGAGGGTATGTCTGCATTGTACTGCAATGGATTCTACTCCTGCTCCACTAACTCCTGAGGATACAGTAAGGGTAGGAAAAGAGCAGGAAAAGCATGTCCGGGAAGAGAGAAACAGAAGGACTTTTTAACTGAAACTAGCTTTTGGCTGGGAATCGAGGTCTTTGACATGACAGTGACTAGCTACTTTCCCTAAGGAAAGTGGCTGCTTCCCTCTGAAGAGATCGTTGACATTTTGTATCAGAAAAACTCACTCCCTAGTTTACTAAGCACTGAGCCTGGCTTGTTTTAGACAGATTTCCAAGAGTCAGGCTCTGAAGTGGGGACAGCTGCAGGGCTGGAGGACAGGAGTCAAGACAATGTACGGAGGACAGGAGCCAAGACAATATACCTAGTCCAGGAGAGCATCTACTCTCATCCTTCCCTGGGAGTAAGAGCAGCTTGCTACCAGAGCTGGGACAGGGATCAACACCCACTTGAGAAGGTAGAAAAGGCATAAAAGGACCTGGCAGGGATCTGTGGTGAACAGCTGCACTGCTCTGAGGAGGGCAGGTTTACAGCTCCCAGGAAAGATGGGAGCTATGGGCTTTGCAACCATGCTCTTACAGGCAGGTAGGCCAAGCCATCCCTCAAACTCTGATGGAAGTAGATAAATCTGCTTCCAACATCTAAGAAGTCAGTGCAAGCCCCTTCTCCCTCAGCTTCTCTGGTCCAGGACACCATTCTCCTTGTCAGGGTAGCCTGCAGCCAAGGATGAATCTGATCTGTCCCAATCTAAGCCCCTCTGGCAGTCCCTGCCATTCACAGGGACCCTCTCCCTGAGAGCTGCAGCAGCTCAGCCTCAGTGCAGATCCATGCCAAGCATGCTCCCTCTCCTCAGCCACGGTCCCCTCACAGGTCAGTGAGCGAGCAGTGGGAAGGCTTCTGTCCGAGCAAGCTCCAGTTATCCTCATTTCCCACTCATGCTGTTTGTCTTGGCCTCTCTTCCCACACCAACCTTCCCTCTCTTCTTCTTCCTGGGATTGAATTGCTGGGGCTGTCACTGTAGTTAATGAGCTGGGACAGAGCTGATGCTATGGGAAACTCAGGCTCAGAGCCATCCTAGCCTGGGGCATTGTGTGTGCACACACACCAGGAGTGCCCCAGAGGGGAGAACAATTGAAAAAGAGACAAGCCCCCAGCAAGTGGGCCAGACGACCAGGGGAGGAGAAGGAATGGAGCTAAGCTTGCATTCAGGAGATCTCAGCAAAAGAATCAGGTGCCTGGACACTCCCTGGCTTGAACAGCCCCAGTCACTGCACCACCATGGATGCCATACCAAGGAGGCCTGGGGGCCATGTCCCCTCTGCCTTCAAAACCAGTCCCTGGGCCATCTCAGTCCCAATCTGTGCCCAGGCATGCTGGCTGACACCAAACCTGACTAATTTAATGGTGAGGACAGTCACATTTGACACTGTGGTGCTTGGGAGGAGACAATGGTGCCTGGCTGATGGCCATGCAAATTCTACTTGTGTGTTCAGCCCATACTTCAGCTGGATGGAACAGCTTTGTTCAAAAATCACATGGCCTGGGCAAAAGGGGGTATAAGGACACTTTGAGACAGCAAGACAACAGTCACAGAAGACCCAAAGCTCAGGGGAAAATGGCTATGGACTCTCATCCCACTGTTGATGACAGGCAGGAGCTGGTGGGCTGCCATCTGTGCCTTACCCATTGATGCTCCCAGGATGTCTTCAGTAGCCTCCATTTCGCCAAAAGCCCTTTCTTCTCATCTGCACTCCAGCTGCTAGCAAGCACCAACCTGCTACACTGTGCCTCACTTTCCATTTACTGCAAGGACAAAACTCCTGTTCCTGCAGCTGTTCTTCCATGTCCTGTGCTTCTGTGGGAGCTGAGAGCTAGGAAGCTCCAGCCCAGCAGCTGCATTGGCAGGACTGAAGAGGTTTGGGCTGGATGGTGCAATACTGGCATGCTCCCTCCCACCCCATCTCTGCACACATAGTCCCCAGGATGTGCTCCAGCAGCCTGGCTGAGCAGTGCAGAGCAGAGCACCTGCTTCAACCATGGTGCTGAGAGACTCTCAAGGGAGACCTGCAGCCCAGCTGCTGTAGAACATCCTTCACCCCTGTAAAATGCCTTTCCCATCCGCCACACCCCCAGCACAGCCCCCTTGCCACTGCAGCATGGCAGGCAGTGCTGGCTGCACACCCCACGCTCCATGCTGGCTTTCGGACTCAAACACAGGGGCACATCAACTCTCTGCTGTCTTTTCTTTTTATTTAACAAAATCTCAGCACAATAAAAAAGAGAGAAAAGAAGCAGCATACACACAGAATAGTTGCAATGAACAGATCTAGCAGCAAATAACCTGAGAGGCCAGGCATGGGCACGGGACAGGGTTTGAAGGTGGTGCCAGGCTGGGGGACTGAGAAGGGGATCAATGTCCCTGAGGAGAGAAGGGGCTAAGAGTGACATCACTGCCTGCTCTGCAGCTGCCATGTTACTGGCTCTATTTCTACCCTTTCAAGGAAGGGCAGCAAATGGTGCCAGGAAGTCAGGAGTGAGAGAGGAACCACATTGGCCATACATTGTCCAAGTTCATCTAAGCTGTGCATGGCCATTGAGGAACATCTCCAGCATTCCCTCCATCCCAACACTGTCCCATTCCCAGCAGCCTTTTCCAGGGATGCAGAAGGAGTCATGCTTGGGGCTGACAATGGAAACCAAACAGATCAAACTAGAGCTGGAGGTCACAGCTGCTGTGCTGAAGGGAAGTCTGAGACTGCCCAAACTCACTTGCAGATCAGTCCATCAACCAGCTTCCAGGCTACAAAGCCAAAGTTGTCCCACAGCCCTTGGCTCAGCCTGACACAGGTGTTTGGGTCACATAAGAGACAGAAGGAAAGGGAGAGAGCAGACAGGGTGCTGCCCAGCCCCACACACTGGCACAAGTCCTGAGGGGGGTCAGCCATGAGGCTGGAAGTGGAAGCAGGTTGGCTCCATTAGCATCAGATTCACAGCTGGGAGCTGGTCCCACTCGAGGTGTTGGTACCAGCCATGGGCTTCTTTGGAGACTATTTGCCCTGGCGTTTGGCCTGGGGAAGTGAAAAACCCAACTGTTATTAGTGTGCAACTCGGGGCAGGAGCCTCTCCAGAGTCCCTTCCTCCACTTTGGACCTGGTAGGGCTTGCAAAGTGCCCACTAAACTCATCCCAAGCCCTCCCCATGAAGGTGCACAAACAGTAGACTCCAAGCTTCCAGGGTGGAAGCAGGGAAGGGTTTGCTCTCGGTGCTGTTTGCCATGGCACCCATCAGGTTCAGCCAAGAGTGGCACTGGGTGGACAACAGCCCCAGGGCTTCATTTGTTTGAGGTGGAAGAGGGCCTACAGAGGAGACAGAGAGGCCCCAGTTGGAGGGAGGACAGATGGGGACCAAGACAAAGTATCCATGTCTCAGCAGAGCATGTCCCTGGGCTGCTCTTCCCAGCAGCTCAGTCACACTGGGAAAACCCTGGCTGCCCTCATGCCTGTCTGAGAACAGGGATGGTTCTTACCTTCCTGGCAAAGCTTGCATCCAGCTTCTCTTGGAGACGAATCACCCACGGGGACTGGAGCGGGGCACAGAGGCGCTTGCCCCTTGTGGTGATGAATCTGCCAAGCCCATGAGGGAAAAACAAAATGTAGTGAGCAGGACACCCTGGGGGTGCTCAAGAACAGCTCAAAGTCTCACCCCCTGCCTCCCTCACTGCCCTTCTCCATCTCTACCTTTAGATGACTTTCTTCACTGACTTTTGTCCCATAGTTTCCCGTCTCAGCTGGTCCTCCTCTGACGGAGGCTCTTGATCCCCAGGATCTCTTTCACAACCCTCCCCGTTCGTTTCTCTCTCAAACCCAGCTCAGCATCCCTCCTCCACCCTGCTTTGCCCCCATCCCTGCGTCCCTGCAAGGTCCGTCCCTCGGCCATCACAAGCTCTTGTCCCTCAGCCGTCAGCACTCAGGCTCTTACACTGTAGCAGGGATGTCACAGCCATCCTGCACCAGCTGGAGCCGGTAATCCTGCACTATCCGCCATGGAATGGGCGTCTCCTTTGTCCGCAGGCAGCAGTCGAGGACGTTGTTCCCGCCGTGCACTGGAGGAGGAGGAACACACCACGCAGGCTGAGGTCAGTGGCACCGCTCCCAGCCTCCCTGGAGGGCGAAGGGGCCGCGGTGGAGCCGGGTGCCCAAGCTGGGCACACGGGCACCAGCTTTATTGCTGTCACACCCCCGTGCCAGGAGCCCTTTGCCTCCTTCCAACAGAAAGCAAAGGAGACGAGGGACAGCAGACAGGCAGAAGGCAACCCTTCTGCATGACTGGGTCCCTCCTGCACCCCTTTGCTGCACCCCAGCAAGCAAAGCAGGACAGGGGGGTTTTTACTCCGCATCAGGATGCTGCAGTACAGGCACCCATTCCCGAGGGACTGGGGATGACTTCAGCTTTGTTTACTGAGGCAGTCATAGGTTTGGCAGTCACCCCATCACCAGCCCACCCCGCACCGATCATTCCTGTGACAGCTGAGGGACACAACTGCCTGCACTTCTCTGCAGGGAAGGGGATCTCAGTCACACTAACAGCAAATGCTATACTCACTGCTAATGCCCAACAAGGCTGGCAGTGCCCAGGGATGTCTGTAACCCCCTACAGCGAGATGTAGCACAACACTACAAGGTGCCCGGACTCCCCACCTCTGCACCGCAGAGCAGAGGTTCTGGTGTCACCCATCCAGACAGCTGTGACCAGTGCAAACTCCATGTCCAACACCAGCAGCCTCTCAAACATAGGCCCTGCCCTAACACATGCCTTCCCTCCCACTCCCAGTCCTGCCACTTACCCTGAGGCTGCCTCAAGCCAGAGTGTGACAGGGGTGCTCCTGAGGTGTACTAGGGAGAACTGGACCAAAGTTATCCCAGCCCAACTTGTGCAAGCTGGGCTAAAGCACCAGGAGGCAGGATTGCTCCACAGCCTTGCCCAAACACACCTTCTCAGCCCCAGAGCCCTGCAGGCCCCTGCCTGGACTTTGGGCAAGACAAAGTACCCCTAGGACAGGCTGCAAGCAGAGGATGCAGGAAGGCTGTGACAGAGCCTCAGCCATGAGTCCCTCTAAAACTCAAATGCAAAAGAGAGGCAGAAACTGAATTTTCTCCCTTCTGCAGGAAAGGCAGCGTGAGAGGTTCCCTCTTACCATCCAGGATACATCCCAGCACCAGGAGACTGAGGCAGAGAAGATGTAGCTGCTGCATTTTGCAGAGGATGGGCTGGAGGCGAAGGAGCTCCAGGCAGGAGAGGTGAGCTCTGAACAGCTTCCCTGCACTCTGCTGCAGCTGCTCCCTGCTGCCTATATACCCTTCCAGCCCGTGGCTTTCACTTTCTTTTGGAGAAGAGGGTTGGGAAGTTGCAACAAGTCTTGCCACAGGCTGGATTTTAATCTTTGAACAGTTCCCAGATATACCACTGCATTCCCTGCAGCCAGCTGCTCTGTGGTCCCAGAGCCAAATCCTCTCTTTTCCTCTCATCTGCCTGCACTCAGGCCACAGGGGTTTCTGATCAGGCAGCTCCAGGGTCCCTTTACCTTATGAAAGCATCTCAGGGCCCTGGGATGTCACACGGGTGGTCCCACACCATATATTTCCCAGTCCTTTTTCCAAGATATCTCTGGGATATTCACATTAGATATCGCACAGGCTCAACACTTTGATGCTATGTGGGTAGAACTTTTCTCGACCCCATTTTTGGGGTATATGTAGGTACTGGAGTGATGTCTGTCTCCCCCTTAGCCCCTCCCCATCTGGTTGCAGAAGTCTGGCTGTCTCCCCCTGCCCTCTCCAGTGCCTCTGTGGGGGGCACATCCAAAGCTGGCAGATAGAGGAAAGGACAGTCGGCCTGCTCCACTCCAGGGCTGGGACCTCACATGCCAAAACACAGCCAGGTGTCCCAGCAAATGGACTCAGGGCCAAAGGCAGCTACAAAGCTTCCTGTAAACAGGTTTTCCTCGTGGAGGAGCAGAAATCCCCCAGGGAGGCTGTGTGCATGGCACAGGGTGCCAGCAGCTCACCCTCTGCGTGGGCACTGCCGAGAGCGAAGAGCAGCACTCCTGCTTCAGATCTTCACAGGAGAGCAAGGATGGGAGCTGTTCCTCCTTGGGATGGTGACTCACCACTGGGCCAGTGCCAATGCCACCTGAAGTGATGCCCCTTAAACCAGGCTGCTTCAGCCCTGGCCCCTGCTATGTGGGAAGCTGAGAGCATTGGGGTTGTGCAGCCCAGGGAAGGAAGGATGAAGGGGTCTCACTGCTGCCAGCAGCTGCCTTGTAGGAGTTTGGAGAGATGCCAGAGCCAGGGTCATCTTTGAGGGGCCCAGGGACATGACAAAATGTAAAGGCAGCAGTTGCACTCAGAAAAATCCCCACTGACAGTAGGAAAAATATTTCCCAACAGGGGTGAACAAATCCTGGAGCAGAGCCTCCATGCCACCACCTCCTCCCTTGCTCAAGCTCTGGCTTGTCCTTGCACCTCGGTGGAGAGTGCTGTACAGCTCCTTTCCATGTGGACAAATTTCTACCTGGGTACAAGAAAAAAAGCTGTGACCCAGCAACCTCAGTGGGTCCCTTTGCTCCTCTCAACAGTAGGAGATATCTGCTTCTGCTTCTTCCTCCCTCCATGGTAAGAAGCAAGAGGAGACTCCAGCCACGCCACCAGACAAGGTACTGCATCCCTGCACTGGCACTGGCACCAGCATCACATATGGGGTCATCTCCTCCATCAGGAGAGCATTGGCTCTGACTGATACTGTGGTCTGGCAAACCAGTGCTGTGGTGAAGGGACTGGGCAGGGGCTGATTAGTGTCAGTCATCAGCCCCAGGCTCCCTGCAGGTTTAGGGATGCAAGCTGACTCTGGGACCTGGTCTCCACTTGATCTCCTGCGGGCTGCCAAAGATATGCCACAGCAGGGAGGATGACAGCTCCTAGCTGCTAGTGGCCAGACCTTCAGGAGCAACTACTCCTAACCCAGAACTGGTTCTTCACTGGGGGTTGGTCTGACAAAGAACACCCTGCGAAGAGGAGGTCTTGAGAGCTGAGCCTTGACCCACTGGCACAGCCCACACTAATGCTTTTGTTTGGTTTTCCTTTGGCAACAGAATACAGTGACCCCCTCCCTTGCCAGTCAATCTGCATTTTTAAGGTGATGCCTAGACAGGGGTCAAGGCAGGGAAGGCTCGACACAATAAATGCATCTGAACTGCTCTCAGCCCTTCAGCTGTGTGAACTTTTTTGCCTTGTTAAATTCTGATAGAAGCATCAAGGGAGATCTGCTCAATTCAGATGCACAGAGCCGTGCTCTTAAAAGCATGAGTTTACAGAGGAGGAAGAGCAGTGACAAATTTCTCTTTGCTTTGATGCATGAGGGCTGCAGTCTGATCTGGCTCAATCAAGTTTAACTAATTTGTAAATTATGAGTAAGACGGAGCAAGGTGCAAGACAGTGTAAGCAGGTCCTAAAGCGGGAAGTCCTGACCCACTGGCAAGGGGTGCTGGGGGTGCTGCCCGACAGCAAACCCTCACTTCCTTGCGTATTGGGTGGGTTTGGCAAATCCTGGAGCACGACCAAGGGCTGGCAAGGAGTGCTGGGGATCCTGTGCTGTTGGACTCCCCTCCAGGCACTGCTGGGTCCTGGTCCCCAGAGCAAGCAGGGGGGTCTGCAGCCACTTCCCTGGCACAAGGAGCTGCTGCCTGCTGCTGGCTCACAACCGGCTGTGCACCAAAAGGACCACGCTGTGTTGGGAATATATTCTCCTGGAAATAGACCCCTTTGGCTGCAGGGGTCCCCCTGCCCCTCGAGCTGCCCACAACCCCTGCCAACACACAGCAGGAAAGGGAGCCTCTACCTTCTCCTGGCAGCTGTCTGGGAACCAAGTGGGTGAAAGCACATCTGCTTCCCACGCCTCTGCTCCTCAGGAGGAGCACCAGAGAGTGAGGAAAGGGGCTTTCCGCTCTCACTGTGAAAGGGGAATGTGACATGTTCCCCCCCCTTTACTGGGGTCAGTGAGATTTCTAAGAAAAGAGTGGTCATCTCTGAAGTGCATCCTTGTGGCATGCAGGGAGGTCATCCCCTCCCCCTTGTAGTGCTGAGCCTCAGGGACCAGAAGAGATGGTGTAGATGGGGAAGAGGGGATGTTTCAGGGTCCGTGGTCCCCAGAGACACACACAGGCAGGGGATTTGGGATGAGGGAAGAGCATTGTGTGCACTGACCCATTTAAGCCTCTTCCACAGCAATTAGGGAGTGTTGAAGCTCCAGCCCCGAGGACACCACAGGCAGCATGAAGCATCCATGAGCGCTCACCCTGCAGAAACCTCAAAAATACAGTTGTTAATTAAAGTGGAAATCAAAGGGAATGAATGATGCCTGTTGGAAATCCAACCCATCAAAATGTAAACAGACCAGGTGAGTTATCACCTTCATCCCTGGGCTTTTCTCAGGGAGTGCCTGCCGTGCTGCTACCTTCCTGGAGATGTGAGAGCTGCTGAAGCCCCCAGGACAGCTGCTCCCCAGCATGTCTGCTGGTGGTCTGCTTTGCACCTCCAAGCTACAGAGCTGGAAAGAGGAAAGGGGGAATTTCAGCAAATTCCAGGCACAGCCAGTCCCTGGGGTAGGATCTGGCCTGGCTACATTCACCTGATTGGGAAATACTGGGCAGACATTGCAGCTGCTTCCACTTCCCTTGCAACGCCTGGCTCAAGGCAGTCTCACACATGGCTCCCATCGCATTCCCCGTCCCAGTGGACCACTGGAGATAGGGCCACAGCCAGCCTGTGGGGCTCCAGGACCCAGTGGATCTCTAGCTGAGCGAACCCAGTCAATCTGATTTAAATAAAGTTAAGGGGAAAAAAGAGCATGTCATAACTTTGCCCAGAGGGAGCAAAGATGAACCTGAGGATCTGGCTCTGAAGGAATCAGATGGTGCCAATTCCCGCTCTGTCCCTAACACTCATTGTTTTCAGTGTCATTGATGCTGAGGTCACCAGGAGTGATGAGCAGCAGAACCAAGACCCTTCAGCTGTGTCTTCCTCGACACTCCCAGGCAAACAACCTTCCCCCAGGACCCCTGCAACACACACGTCCCTCAGCATCACCTCAGCTGCAGAGTGTCTCAGCCTGGTGCTTCCTGCAAATGTCCCCAGGGATGCTGTGAACACACCAAGATGGCAGTGACCATGTGGTATGCCCCCAGCCCTGACTCCCTGCCATTATGCTGCCTGATTTCCAACCTCTCCAGGGATTTCAGGAGGGGATGGCTGAGGAACAGCTTGAAGACCTGTAGAGAAAGCAGCCCACCAGCAATTTCCTTGCCGTCTCCTGTGTGGCTTGGCAGGAAGGATGCCCAGTGGGGCTGCACACCAAATTCACTTGTGGAAAGATCTACAAGTACACGGGATAGAACAAAACTTACTCTCACTGCTCCTTTGGGCAGGGGAGGCTGTGGGGTTCTTGTTTTGTTGCAGCCCTGAGTCGCGGCTCACATTGGTCCCAGCACAGCACATCCTCAGATGCTCTTACACAGCACCTTGGAGAGCTGCAGCCAAGGAGCAGGTCTGCAATGCCCAGCAGGATGGGAGGAAGGCAGAGGGACTTTGGGATCTGGGGAGGTGGAAGGAGGGCTGGCAGCATGACACACTCCGAAGCCAAGGTTCCTCAGACAGCAACACAGAGGATGGGGGAAGGAGGGCACTTGGGAGCTACGTGTCAGTGATGAAAGGGTTGAGAGGAAGCTCTGGGCTGTTTCCTCTAGGACAGGATGTGTGCCAAGGGATGGCCAGGACTAGGAAATACCTTGGGGCAGGAAGGGTGAGAGTCCCACTTTCCCACCTCCTCTCTTCTCTCAAGACCATGGCAGGCCCTAGGAGGTAAATGTTGGTGGAGAGGGCACCAAAAAAACATCTTGAAGCTTCTCTTGGAAACTATAGCCCCTCTAGCACCATGTGGTCCCAAAACCAGCCCTTGGCCCCCACGGGGGGCTGCAGCATAGCCTGCTCCTGCTTCTGGGAAAGGGCATGGGACAGAGGGACAGAGCTGGTGTGCCTGTCTTCAGATGAGCCTTGCTGGAGCTCAGCCCGGCGTCCCAACCCAGCACGCGTCGCTGCCGGCACAACCCCGGAGCATCGTCTGTGCCAGCTAATGACTTGACTTAATCATTTGGCCTGGGGTCAAGATCGTCTTGGCTACACTGTTTTCTGTCTGCTGTCAC